CTACGAAGCCATAATTATATATGGACTCTGTTGACCTTAAAAACTATATTGATGCCATGATTAAAATATAAAATTATGTAATCAAATAGCATGAGGAATTTACGTGATTCATGTTTTACCTTCACGGGCGAAGAGTCAAAGGAGATTTCGCAACACAAATGTGTTGAATTACAAAGAAGCAAAAAACAAGAAAAGTATTATATATTGAGGTGTGTAATCTCAACTCTAAATAATGATTTACAAATTAAGGATTTCAATACAAAGCCATACACTGAAACGGAAAACTAAATTCAGTTACAAGGAGAAAAAAAGAAAAAAAAAAGCAATTAGGTTTTGCAACTCAATCTTGGACTCCAAAACCGGTTGTATTGCTGTCGTGGCATGTCGCATCCCAGCCTGAGCCCCCACCACATCTCGGGCTCGACTTTACTGTAGCACGATATTGTCCGTTGGGCCCCAACCACGCCCTCACGGTTTTGTTTCTTGGAAGTCACACAAGAACTTCCCAATGGGCCCCAACCACGCCCTCACGGTTTTGTTTCTTGGAAGTCACACAAGAACTTCCCAATGGGTCACCCATCCTGAGATTGCTCTCGTGCGAACTCACTTAACTTCGGAGTTCCGATGGAACCCGAAGCCAATGAGCTCCCAAAAGACCTCGTGCTAGGTAGAGATGAGAATATACATATAAGACTTACAAGATTCACTCCCCTGGACGATGTGGGATGTTACATGGCAGGTGCCATGTGTTCAAGAATTAGGCACTATCAAAGCCACATTAAGGGCTACCCTTGGCTATAGCCAATATAGCTTTTGGTAGAAAATAAAATTTTACATGTAATTTTTATAGATTTTCAAATGTAGCTCACCATATATTTAGTCACTGATTCAAATTCTCTTGGTTTAATTATATAATACAATTTACAAACCATCTCTTTTTCTCACATCTTTTTTCTCATCGCTTCGTGTACATGTACAAGTTTGAATTTGTTTGAATAATGAAAGTTCTTGGCTCACCTTGTGAAATTTTTCTTAAGCTAGCTAATACTGTAAAAAATATATATAGTATCAAGTTTCTTTATTTATAAAGATTTAAATCTTTAAGCTAGCCCACCTGATAAAAATTTTCTAGCTCTACCATTAGAACTAGGTTTATCAGGTTTATCCTTTTGCCGTTTAGGTAAAAGAGGGAGAAAGTTCATACCATTGTAGGAATAAGTTCTCAGTATAAAGCTTATAATAAAAATGAAGGGATATAAAAGTATTGATGGAGATTCCTTTTTTCTTTTTTTTTTCTTTTATGTATATAACGATATTCTACTGTGCCACTTTTTGTGAGTTGAATACGAGACTTCTGACTTCAACTAAATAGAAATACAATTGTGCTATAGTATTTGTTGATACTTAAAATATTCTAATTATGCAATAAGGGTTGGCTTGGGTAATCTTAATTTTATCTTTTATACAAGCAATGGTGTGGGAAGGAGAAAATGAACGTTGAACCTTGAGTGCAAGAGTAAATGTTGACTTTGATTTGAATTTCTTAATAACTCTAAAATGTCTAGTCCTAAACATTATTGAATGGAGATACATAGGAAGTCTATATGCAACAATGTTTCATAATAAAATCCTTTTTCAAGTTGTAAATCCGACCCCAAAATATATATTACACAGTCTGTCTTGACTTTGATTTCTGTTGTTATTGAATCACACGATGGTGCCCTGTGAAAGGCTGAAATGTTTCTGTGAGTCATCTCGACCCCTCAAAAAAATGGATTGTGATAGCGAAACCACCAACTAGTCATTTTTTTTATAAGAAAATAAATTAATGAAATACTGTGCATACGGACATAGAGAGAGAGAGAGAGAGAGAGAGAGAGAGAGAGAGAGAACAAATGAGTTAATAAGTCACAAACTGCCGTTCAAAGACTCCAAACTAATTATTAAATAGATAATGGAAGAAATGGGATCATGGCAGATCTGATCATGTAGCTTCTAAGATTCATAGACATGTATGTCAAACACTTGAAGGCGTAGAGATAATTTTGTTTATTCATTTACATTTCTTAAATGTATATATCATTATTCTCGTAAGATGAGAATTTCGCTGTGGAACCGTTTACAATAAAATATATTATTGGGCCTTAGTTTAGTCTAATAAGGTGACTCATAAGGAAATAAAACTTGGGCTTTTAATTTACTATAAATGAATCGTACATGCTCAGATTGTTTTTGACTTGTCAAAGGTATCAAAATTTAAGTTTTCTTTATCGACTGCAGAGAGCATTATGCACAATACTTTGGTTGTTTTTTTTATATTTTTGGAACTTTAACGAAAAATTTCTGGTATTATTTATTTTAATGAAAAATTATATTTTTACATTAAAAAGTTAATCATAATACTATTTACTTTACCCTTTATTTTGTTCTTATCGTTAAAACTCAAAATTTTCAAACTCTTTTCATTAATTTTTTTTTTTTTTTTTTCAGGGAAGGTCATCATGGATTTAGGCAAAACTACTGTTTTGGTTATGCTACTCTTCATTCACCACCCAAATATTTTGGATTACTTTCCTATTGGTATATTATTTAAATGAAAGTAATCCTAGATCGGCTTCAAATGAAAACATAGGAAGCATTGATTTAAGATGTGAAAGGTGAAGGGTCTATAATACAAGTGAAGGACTCGTATTAAAGGACACTCAAATCATTTAACAAAACTTTCAAACCAAAGGCTCTCTGCCTTCTACCCGTTTCATTCCTTTTGCCTTACCAAAAGACTACTTGAAACCAAGACCTTGGAACTTTAGGAAACCTTCCTTTAGACTCTTAAGATTATTTAGAATTAGCTTTGCTACCGTCTTTCTTGCATAGTATGAATTTACCAACCTTAAGACAGTAAGTCTCCTTAGTTGTAACCCTTTACAAGGAAGCATCTTTAACCCAATCCAATGGTCCCACATCCACTCAGATAAGAGTCTAAACGATTGTTCTAAGTTCATATATGTATATGCTTTGTTTGTTTTGTGATATTCAGCAATATTAAATTAATATCAATTTCAGTTACTTACTGTCTTGACTTTCTATAGTGAATGATTGAAATGATGCGCTTGAAATAACCAGTTATGTGTAACCCGTCTAGTTTCTTGTTTAATATCGAGAAACAGTTGAAGTCCTTAACATATAAGCCGTTAAAAAGAAACTAACTCGAGGTAAACACTGCCACAATCCTTTGTAAAAGAAGTTTTATTACTTGTGTGCAAATATTGATTATAAATACATTATATTCTACTTAAATATAACATATCTTTCTGTTGGCAAAAGTCAGCTGTGACGCACCTGATAATCTACGAACTAAAGGACTCATTAAGCCTGTTCAAAGGACAAAGTGTGAAGCCTATACCAACTGAGAAAGAAAACTACTCGGCAAACCAACAATGTTTGTTTTCACGCGAATAGAAAGAAACGAGAAAATTGAGCTCATAAGCTGTGAATTTAAAAGTCCCCACAATAATCAGGTTGAAGATTAATATTAGTTGAAAATCATAGCACTATAGACAAACGAAAGATAAACTGTGAGTACTATTTTATTAAACGGAAACTCTACAACTTTGTTGAGATGGCTACACAACTCGAATGGACTACATTATGATTGACTTGCTTCTCATACTAAATTATAGACTATATTTATATAACAAAACCTAAGAAACTCTAATTTAGATGGATTAGGCACAAACCCAAAGAATAAAATAAGAGTTTGCCAACAAGTAGATGTGAATGCTAGCTTTATTGTGCTAACTTCCGATGCCAATCCAAATACAAAATTTCATCGGTGCCAGTGCAAGATTTCAATGCTTGTGTAAGGTTACAATGTCAGTGCCAGTGCAATTGACATTGTGCCTCTTCCCAAGGTTTAGCTACTGTGTGCCTATTGTTGGAAAAATCTCCATTTCATTAAGCTAAACCAAGCCTACTCGCTAAGCGATGGGCCAGTCTCCCCGGTTGGTACATTTACATTCAATCCCTATTTTTATCATTTTCCCCCTCTTTCTTTCCTTCCTCCTAGTCCGAAGGTCCCTTCAAATCACGCAAAACAAGCGCAACAGCAACAGAGGTGTGGCAACAAATGGTGGGTGTGGTGGTGAGTTTGATGCCGGTATGTCAGGCGCGGCGGTGCAGTTTGTCAAATTGTGAGCAGGCTGTGGTAGTGAGATGTAGACGGTACGATGCGGAGAGTCGCGGATGCAGACTTGGGTGAGGGTGCATATGGTGGTTCGTTAGGCAGATGCTTTAGCGGATTCGATCTCTAGAACTTTTTTTTTTTTTTTTACAAACCGAAAGTGACGACTCCTTACCGAAATAAAAAAAAAGGGACAATTCGTACGGATTCAACCAAGTCAAAACAATGGAAAAGACGATGATAGATGTCACACAAACTCTTGCACACCCAATGCGGGTTAAACCCAAATCCAAAAAAAAAAAAAAAAAAAAAAAAAGTGGAAGACACAAATAAACGACAGACATATACCGAACATAAACTGATTAAATCCAGAAGGACTAAACTTGTTCTGATACCAAGTTGAAAATTAGAGTATTACAAACACATGAAGGATAAACTATGAAAATTATTTTATTAAATGGAAAAAAAAAACCCTACAACTTTGCCGAGAGGGTTACACAACTCGGTGGACTACAATTTGACTAACTTGTTTCACATAATAAACTACAACCTATATTTATAAAGAACAAAACCTAAGAAATTGTAACTCAAATGGGCTAGGTCAAACCCAAACAACAAAATAAATAACTAGTATTAGCGTCTAGAATTGGATTTGTTAGTTGATGCATGACATCATATATATATATATATATATTTAGATATGGCGCGTTTACTAATCTGTAATCAAATTAAGATGAATTGAATTGAGGACGAATAAAAATGAGGTGGAATTAGAATCAGATTCATTTTGAAGTTGTTTACTAAAACTGTCTGGAATCAAAGTAGGAAACATTGATCTATATAACTGTTTACTAATTCACATGAATCAGAACGAAAACTATTGTGATTACTAAAATACCCCTAGTTTAATTAATCTATTTATAAGCTAATTATTTTTAGTAAATCTTTTATTGTTTCGTTTTTTTTTTAGGAGAACAATTATTATTTTTTAGTAAAACTTTTATTACTTTATTTTTGGATTTTTTAGTGGAATTCTCATGCTTATCTACTAACCCAGAACCCACTGTCCTCATCCAAATTTGCATTATCTAGAACCCACAGCTCATAGCCTCACCTCGACGAAGAGATCACCGTTCCTACCACTTCTTCTTCAATGATGTGCGGGCATCAGAGCCTGCGCCTCAACGTGGGACTTCGCAAACCCGAGCTCCAATTTGGGTCTTTCTCGGGTCCCTCTCACCTGAACTCGTCCCTCTCCCTTGGCCTCTCTGGTACCACTTTTCTTCTCTGTCACTTCCGTTTCCTTTTGTTGCTGAATTTTCTGTTATTATCAATGGTGGCAACTGGGTTCGAATTTTCTGAAAATTTGATTTTTGCTTTGGGTGTGCTTGCCATTTTTGGGTTGATTTTGATGTGTTGAATCCTATGGAGGAGGACGTGGAGGATTTTGAGGTGGTGGAGCGAGAGGAGGCAACGGAGGAGCAGAGAGCTGCTGGAGAGGATGGCGGAGGACAACGAGAAGATGGAAAGGAGTACTAAAGGTGCAGGGCATTTTGGGAAGGAAATTTTGATTCTAGATGAAGCCTTCTTCCCGGAATCCAAATACTACCTTCTTCTATGTAATCCAATTCCGACAATATCAAGAATTGAATTCCTAATTTTATGTGGGGTCCACAAAACTATTCATTCCAATTTGGTAAACGGAGGTATAATCAGGAATAGGGGATGATTCCTATTCTGCTATATCCTTTCCCCATATGTAAACACGCCATTAGTGGATTAGATTCGTTCAAACCACTAAATATTTTTAGGCGCTAATAGATTAATGGCCAACATTCATAATAGATAGATTAGTGGGTTGGAAACTTGGAATCATATTTACGATTGGAAACTAATTTTAATCCGTCGTTGCACTAGTTGACAGGATTTGTTTATTAAGGCCATTCTCTCGGTGCGCATGCGTATTTCTTTTTAAACTGAAACGGTAGCGGAATTTTATTTATGAAACAAAGAATTACAAGAGGCATATCCATGAGTAATATACTTCAGTAACTAATTCTTTGATTTCGGAAGAAGATTTGCACAAACAACAAAAAGAATATAACCGCTACAAATCATATCTCAATCATATTAATTGTTTACCGACCAACATTCAGTTACTCGTTCAATACATGTATAAGATTGAGGTTTTGAATTTTGTGGTTCATTTCTCATTAACTTGACCTCAATCCCTTGAGACTTGGAAATATCCATCGGCCGTGTAGACTTGTTTAGGTTGAAACCTTGGATTCATTAGTGCATTCCAAATGAATTGGTCATGCTAACTAAAGAATAATTCAAGTTCCTAAACTACTTTGTATAGAGATACAGTGCAAATTAAAGTTAGACGAAGTTTGATCCCTATGATTGGTTCGCATTGGATAACTCACTAGATTTGACAACATACCTTGTTGCCAATCAGTCATCCTATCCAATTCAATACTAGAAACCAAACATGGTAATGGTTTTTCAATTTACAAGCAATAGGAGAAGTCTCATCCCTATACTATGATGATTGACGTGTATTTCCCTGTAATTTTCTGTATATACTAATTACAGCTTTCTGATTCTACTCAAGCCCCATAATCCCCATTTCTTCTATAACCCCTTGAGCTTCCCTCTTGTTCTACTATCTCGTCTTGTACATTCCCTCTGTTAGACAACTGGACACTGCTTTCAGCTGGTTCATCTGGTTTGAAAACCCTTCTTATATAAGAAGGCATTTCTGAAAGGCTATTCCTCACGGAGCTCCAATCGGTGGAGAAAGATGTTCTTGCTGATTGCGGAGTTTGTTGTTCCTTTCTCCTTCTATTCCTCACCTCAGCATGCCATTGCTTTAAAATGTCTGCCATGTTATCTTCCATAATCTTACCCTTGAACTGTGAACCCATCTGTGTTCATATATATAAGCAGAAGTACTTCAGATATGAACAAATTAGGTTTTTGGATCCTTAAAGATATAGCTAAGAACAGTACTTCAGACCAATAGACTTCACCTGTGTGACAAGTGCATAGAGAGGAAGAGTGATGTAGCTGCAGAGGACTTGAGTAGCCACCCTGAAAAATCAGAGGAATTAATATGCAATCACTACTGCAAACAAGGCATATGTGATTATTAATTCATAACAATTTTAAAATTATGATCTGATCAAAATGAATATAATTTCGGTAGTCTTACGCTAAGAAAATCCTCGTAATAATGACCACAGTGTGCTCGTGGTAGCACGATGTGAACCCGAATTGGATCTAATAGCAAGAAGAGAATTAAATCACATATATATTTGTTTTGTCATAAATTTAAAATTTCAAATGTTGAACTTCTGTAGAGCGAGGAGCCAACTTTTCCTAATCCTCTTCTATTTATATAAAGAACGCAGAATTTCTGTAGACTATGGAGGATATATATGGGAAAGAAAACTCACTGTAACCCAAATGAAGAAGGCCAGCTCAAATGCATTCTACAAGGTCCAAAGAAAGTAAAATCAGTTCAATTAATGTTTACACATGAAATCTTAGGAAAGTTGTGAGGGCATTTACCAAAAATAGAGTATAATGTAGCAGCACCAAGACAAATCTAGGTTTCCTGAACCAGAAGAGATCGTCGTTTACTCGCACAAGTGGTGTTCCGACGATCACACTGTTCTGATCTTTAATTTGAAGAGCCATTTTTGCAACGATATACTGAAGTTTGGTTCCTAGAACCAGAACGACCTACAAAAAATCCAATTATTATTGTATTTGGAACACATAAGAACTTATGTACTACATACATATATACACACAGCACTGCACTTACCAAGAGTGGAACATAGGAAAGCCAGAGATATACATACCAACCTGGTAAGGGTTCAAACAAATGCCATGAGGATAACACTTATCGATAATCTCAATTACAACACGAATAGTTCAGAATTAAGAGTCAATTACACTATGAAAATTGACATAAACAACTAAGTGATGAATCCTCTTGGCCCCTCCTACAGTCTAACTATCAAGTTAACTTTTTTTTTCTTTCTTTTTTTTTTTTTTTTTTTTCTAACATAGTACTCAGTTGACCCACTTTTTGTTTGCATGGATGCTTGATTGATAACATGTGAATTAACAGATGTCATATGAGCAACAATTGAAAAAAAAATTCATAAGAAAACCTTAACATTCTTGACATGGAGTAGATAGATGAAGAATTGTTACCATACACGTCGAGGAGCATGAGAATTGCTACTGCAAACCACATTAAGGGGCTGATTGCAACCATGATCTTGAAATCTTCCTCCAAAGATCGCTGTATGTATTTTTGGAAATCAAAGCTTTGCCTGCTTGGCAAATGAGCCTGGAGAAAGTTGTTCATTAGCAACAAACTCAATTAATTCCATCAAAACAGTTAGTAAATTGGACTTGATCTTCATTAATTTACCGCTATGAAGCCATGTCTCATGGTGATGTAGTCAACTTTTGCCACTGAGTTATGGAATTGCCTCAAAAAACATCTCTGCGCCATATTCACAATTATCATCCAAAACCAAATTAGAAGTGTACTTATTCTTTGTTGTGTTGTTATACATAAGATTAAGCTAGTAAAAGCACTCACCATCCACAGATGAAATGACGTTTCTGAACTAGAATTCATGTGCCTTCTTCCAAATGTTGTTTGCCTGGTAATCCTGAACCGGTTGGGATCTGCATACATGCTAACCATGTCAGCAAGGAGCAACTCAAAGGTGTAACTAAAAATATAGGCCGATGAAACTATAAAATATTCAATTTGGAGAGCAATGCTCATGACTAAACGAAAAGTAGCAGTGCTTAACCACCGTAAACCTTAAACCCTAAATACTAAACCCTGACCAAAAAATAAAGCTAGGTTTCTTTTGTTACCTTCTTTTACTTGTGGTAAATCCCATAGGATTAAACAGCGAAACACAAAAGCGTAAATTGGTTTCACTGCATACGGTCTATATTGGCTACATAGTTCGTTGGAATATTTTCAGTCATATTCTGACTTTTATGTTTGAAAACCTTCATGAAAGAGCAAAATTCCCTTCCAACGTCTTCGAAAGCGCACCAAGGTTAAATTAATGATTTTTTTCGGAACCAGCAAAGTCAAAGAGATCTACTGCCATACAGATATACACATATAACGCTCTAATACAAAAGAAAACGCAACAAATTTGGAAGAACTTTCCTTTTACAGGTGGCCTAGCATAAGAAAAAGTCTAAAAAAAATAAAATAAATCGCATCTTTATGTCGACAACGTGCTAAAGACCAAAAGCACTAACATATGTGAGATATTTTTAAAGGATTTAAATGTAAACATAGCAGTCTTTGGAAGACGCCAAGGTCAAGTCAGCACACATACCAGACAAAAAGAAAAAAATAATACATACAAAAATCAACAAGCATGTTTAGAATTCCCTTTTTCTCTTTTTTGGTCAAACTTTTCTCCTTCTAGTTATGATTAAGGTCATGGACAGTTTTTTTTTATTTTTTATTTATTTTTATTGAACAAATAATATTATCTATACTAAGAAATAGAGATGTAAGTTTAGCCTCACATTGGTCATGGACAGTTCTTTGATAAACTATAATGTGCCTTTTGAGGAATTGAACTCATCTTTCGTCGACAATTTTTTCTTATCAAACTATGCATATTTAGTGATCGCATTATATGGTCATATCTCCACGAGACATGCTATTCTCATTTCCAGTTGAAAGACTATATTATCAATCACCTTATTAACCGCGTTATTAGTTAATATCTTAGAATGAGACTTACCATTCTCAACTTGGTACTCCATTGTTCGAGTTTCTTGCTCCCAAGCTTCCCAGCGCGTCATCTATACAAATTGAAAATTAAAGTATTTGGGATAATTCTTGCTTAATCATAATTAATCGCATTGATAAAGCTTAGAACAATCTTGAAACAAACGCACCTTGGCCCTCCCCAAAGCCATGGTAAGAACACTATACACAATATGCATAACCGCCAGCGCAAAAATAAGTATGTGAAGCTGATGAAGAGCATCTTTCGTCATGAAAGGTAATTTTCCCTGCAAAATTTCGTCCGAATTAATAACAAAGCACCCAAATTAACCCGATTAACTGCATGTTCAGAACTATTAATGCATTACCTCACCGCAAGAACCTGTAGCATCTGCATCGTCCTCTGCAAGTCGCCTATGCACTGATATTTGCCTTAGTATTTCATCATACAAACTATTTGCACCGGTCGAAAAGTTTGTCACAATCTTATTCACAGTCACAAATTTCTCGACATCTTCTTTTTTGGTTGTCTCATTTCTGCGACATGGAAGCATGATGTTTCCCACCTTTGCAGATATACAGATTTTAGATATCGAATTTTGGGTTATTGCCAGCAAAAGTGACACAAATCCCATAAGCATCAACTCTGCACAACAACAAACCAACTTTAAGCCAATAAGCCAATATAATCAGAATCAAATAGTTACAGAATAATTCATTTGGCTTGACTATTGCACCTGATTTGAGCTTCTCAACCGCGTCCATCAAGGCAGTTTTCCTGTGCCTTCTGAGAAACTGCACCAAATTAGATGTGTCCTAACGTCAGAATTGATTTTAAAAAATTTCTCGTGACATCTTAGGCTTTAGACTGAATTCAAAAGAAAGAAAAGCTTACGTTGACAAGGAGATGGATGGAGTGCTCGATGACAAGGGAGGTGAAGATGAAGAAAAAGCAAACGGTGGCGAGTGCCCATGTCGGAGTGTATTCCAGAGAGGCGCCTTTGGAGTCTCCTGCCATGACTGCCTTGAATTTCTCTTCTTCTTCTTCTCCTTTTTGGTCTTTTATGTGATATTTGTTCTTCTTCTGTCCTCTTTTCTTCAAATAATGGGACGGGAAGAACGCAGACTTTTTGGAACGAAGTTTTGAGAATTGGAAATTGTTTTCTTTCCACACTATGATTCATTTCCCATAACATGTTATGCAAATTTCAGCTATATATATTGATAAACATTGATTATTAAGAAAAAGTCTACATAATTTGGGTTAACGTCAAACGTCAAATATATGTAAATGAAGAGAGAAATTTCAAAGAATTTGATTAACTTTCTACATTTGTATACTGCAATTGTCATCATCACATTCCTTTCCCATGACTACCATTTGACAATTTGAGTTTATGACTTTATAAACAACGGTCAATTCTTACCATAGTATTAGACAATTATTACTTTAATAAAAATTGTGACGCCCATAAAAACTTTTCAAACTTCTGATTAATGACTACACATCTATTTTCTTTTAAACCTTCTTCTATGGTTGATTTGACTTTTGAGAGGTACAAAAGTACATTTACATCTCATTTTACATAATTGGTAATATTGTTCCAACTTAACTACTTATTATTAGGTGTTAAGTTTTACCACAAAGGCCTGTGTAATATTAGGAGCGAGAACTCCTACATACAACCTGCATATGATTTTGTTATATGCTCGGTGTTAGACTTCATTTTCTAACATGTCCCCTCACGAGTGGTTTGGATCACACGTGAAACCAATTCGCACAACAGGAACTAGTTAATTCATGATGCTGAAGCTAACACAACTTTTCGAGAGCTCTATCATCATTCATTCATTGAAGTCAACACAACTTAATCCACCACCAACATCATTAATATCGTCCAAACTTAAACCACTATTACTAAGTGTTGGATTTTATCACAAAAAACCTCAGTGATATTTTGAGCAAAACTCCCACATATAAGCTGAATATTGTTTTGTTATATGACTGATTTAGAACTTTATTCCTCAAGATACGGGAGATGTAAATATGAGTTCTACTCTAACGTGAAAAATGCATATTTAAGGTCAAATTTATTTTTCTCTCTTTGACTAGTGGTCACCCCACTTCTATTCCCAAAGTTTCCGTGGATGCAAATCAACGGGTCTCTTCCATTATTCAGTTGGATTCTCATGATTGGAAGTGGGACTCCATTGGCAGAATTATCCCTGAGGTGGAGTGTGCGGCCATCTCCTTGACTTAGGTGGGAAATCCCAAGCGCAATGATAGGTTGATTTGGTCGGCTGATAAACGGGGTGAGTACTCCATTAAGTCCGAGCCTCCAAAGCAACTAATCCTTCGGTGTGGAAGTGCATATGGGGCATTAATGCTCCTCCCAAAATTAGATATTTCTTATGGATAGGGTTAAGGGGTGCTTTGGCAATGCAAATCCATTCAAGAGAAGATGTTCCCCCTTCCCTCATCTGTCCTTTATGCAACGAACATGAGGAATCAGTTAAGCATGTTTTTCTTTTTTGCCTGTGGACTATTTGGGTTTGGTTTGGAGGACCGCTAAACTATAGGGTCGATCGGATGGTTGTGACAACTCTTGATGCCTGGATCCTCTTGGTTTCTAAGGAGTGCCCTAACAACTTGGATGACAAGAAGTTTCTCCTTACAATTGTGGCATTTACATGCTGGAATATCTGGAAGGATCGATGCAAGACAATTTTCAACAGAAAGCCTTCGTCCCCTATCCAGACAATTAATGCCGTAGTCTGTGATGTGGATGTTGTTCTTGAAGGTCAGCTTTGGTTCATTCCCCTCCGGTCCCAGGCTTTCGTCCTCAGGTGCATCGGTGCTCGTGGACCCCTCCACCCCCGCATATGATAAAAATTAATGTGGATGTTAGCTAATAGGCTGGTAGTTGTAGTGGTGTTGTTGGGGTGGTAATGAAAGATTCTTTGGGCAGATGCTTGGCGTCATACGAAGAAAGGTGATAGCTACGCAAAGTGCTCATGTAGCCAAGGCAATTGCGATTTTGGAGGGATGCTTGCTTGCCCAACAAGAAAATTTGTCTCACGTTGTTGTGAAATCTGACTGTAAACATATAATTTCTTGTTTATTGGATAGTATAGACAACGCATACTGGGAGGTGTGCCCCATATTGTCTCGAGCAATGGACGTTGGTGATTCATTACCCTCATGTACCTACTATTGGGTCCCAAGATCAGAGGAAGCGACGGACTTCGAGGCGTCCTTCCAATCTACGGAGATGTGCGACTTTGTCTAGGTCGAAAGTGAAAGAAACTAAACTAGGGTATGAAAATCTGAATTGCATGCTCAACTCAGTTATCGTTAAGTGAGTCAATGACTTCATATATATAGAGATTACATGAAACTGTTTGTTACAGATTACAAGTATTTCAGATTTACAAAACAACTAAATAGGTTACAAAGAGATATAGATAAGCTAGAATTGAACATATTACAAAGAGATGTAGATAAGCTAGGATTGTTCAGATATCCTTTGACTGATATTTGAACTGTGGCAATCTGTTTGAATGGCAGGAGCTGGGATTTGCTGACTTGGCACAGTTTTCGACTTGTATGGTTGATATGGTTTATCACTCCCTCCGCAAGCTTAACGGGCGCTGACGAATGGGAAGCTTGGAGAGAAGATATGAGAAACGAGATGATGAAAGGCCTTTGGTTAACAAGTCAGCAAGTTGGTCTGTAGTAGCCACATATCCAACGTCAACCTCCTTCCGAACAACCTTTTCACGAACATAATGATAATCTACTTCAATATGTCTCATGCGTGCTTGATAAACTGGATTGGAAACAACTGCTAGGGCACTTATGTTATCACACCATAGACGTGGAGGTGCAACAGATAATGAAAGTAGTGAAAAAGTTGTCGAAACCATGATAAAGTGGCAGCTGTGTAAGCTAACTGATGATATTCGACCTCTGTGCTAGACCGAGATACACCGCGTTTCTTCTTGGAGCTCCAGGAAATAAGATTATCCCCCAAAAAAATACAATAACCACCTGTGGATCGGCAATCATCAGGATCACCCGCATAGTCAACATCGGCAAAAGCCGTGAGCACCAAGGAACTGGGTGTGTAGACTAGAGCATGATCATAAGTGCCTTTTAAATAGCGAAGAATTCGCTTCACTGCTGCCCAGTGACTGGTAGTGGGAGAATGCATGTATTGGCATACCTGATTTACGGCAAAGGCGATGTCGGGACGTGTGAAAAGCAAGTACTGTCAAGCACCTACCACACTTCTGAATGTAGTGCCATCAGAAAGAGGTTCACCCTCATATAAGCTGAGTTTACGTCCAGGAGCGGCGGGAGTAGTCAATGGCTTTGCATCAGCCATATTTGTCTTCGTGAGAAGGTCAAGAATATATTTTGACTGAGATATATACATGGCCTGAGAGGTACGCTTTATTTCCATCCCCAAAAAATAACTTAGAGGACCGAGATCTTCATAGAGAACATATTGCCGAGTTGTGCAATCAGACTGGAAATTTGTGAAGTATCATTTCCTGTAATAAGAATATCATCCACGTAAATTAATTAGTAGACCACAGTTTTCCCGTTGAAGAATTTGAAAAGGGAAGAGTCGGCAACAGAAGCAATGAATCCCAAGTCTTCAAGATGATGGGAAAAACACTGAAACCAGGCACGAGGTGCTTGTTTCAAGCCATATAATGACTTGCGTAAACGGCAAACATGAGAAGGAAATTGAGGGTCAACAAAACCTGAAGGTTGACGCATGTAAACTTCCTCAGCTAGTGTGCCATGAAGGAATGCATTGTGGACATCAAGTTGGCGAATGGGCCATTGATAGTGTAAAGCAATGGATAATATCATACGAATGGTGGCACGAGTCACAACAGGACTAAATGTTCCATTGTAATCAATACCTTCTTGTTGATGAAATCTATTGGCAACAAGACGAGCTTTATATCGCTCAATGGAACCATCAAATTTTCTTTTAATGCGATAGACCCATTTATTCGGCAGTACATTCATTGATGGTTGAATGGGAACGAGAGTCCATGTTCCGGTATGTTGCAAGGCATTGAACTCATCCGCCATAGCTATTCTCCATTCAGGAGACTTATTGGCCTGGGAAAAACAAGTCGGCTCAATAATATCGTTAGCTAAAACAGTGTGAAAACTATATTTAGGATTGAGTTTCCTTATGCCATCCTTTGCTCGAGTGATCATTTGATGACCAATAGAAGTAGTTAGTAAACTTGCATTCACAGGTAAGATTTCTAGGATAGGTGCTACGGCAGGGGTAGAAGAGGGGATCGGGGTGTGCGTGGGAGGTAATGGGTGAGTTGGTTGTGTAGTTGGTGAGTTTATGGAGAGAGATGATGTCTGATGTGGGTTTTGTTGAGGTGGGATAGGTGGGGTGGTTTGAGGAGTGTTAATATGAGTAGGATTAGAGTGAGGCAGGTGGAGTCGGTGGAGGATAAGGGTGAAGGGATGAAGGGTATAAATCAAAAAGTAGGATAGGGGAAACGGATGAGGAAGTCGTAGCCGTAGTAGGAGTGGTTTCTTTAAATGGAAAACACTTCTCATCAAAAATAACATGTCAAGAAAGAAAAATGCGACCTCTAGACAAATCTAAACACCAATATCCTTGTTGGTTTAAGGAATAACCTAAGAAAACACATTTTTGGATCGGAATTCAAGTTTGGTTGTGTTATAGGGTTGAAGATATGGAAAACAAGCACAACCAAAAACTTTTAAAAAATCATATTGAGAAGGCTTTGAAAACAATTTTTGAAAAGGACTCTCATCACCTAAAACTTTGGTTGAGAGCCGATTAATTAGATAAGTGGCAGTGTGAAACGCCTCATCCCAAAAGGAGGTGGGGACAGAGGCATGAGCAAGTAATGTTAACCTGATTTCAACTAAATGACGATGTTTTCTTTCGGAAATGCCATTTTGCTCAGGGTGATGAGGACATGTAAGACGATGATTAATCCCATGTTTAGCAAAGAATTGTTTGAAATGAGTGTTGACAAATTCTCCGCCTCCATTAGATTGAAACGATTTGATGGTTTTGTTAAACATATTTTCAACAAGCTTTTTAAATAACACAAATGTAGCAAACACATCCGATTTTAATTTTAAAGGAAATAGCCAAGAGTAACGAGAAAAATCATCAACGAACACAACGTAATACTTAAAACCATT